GTCTTTCGGTCACCCGCGAATTGTGCCAGCAGATGAGAGCAACCGGCAAGGCGCATAGCCACGATCTGAAACAGATTTTGCCTGGATTTTTCGCTACGGAAGAGGTAGAAGATGACCAATACAGTCTACCCTTATGGGGAACAAATCATTACTTACGTAGCATTTATACACTCGAATATGGAGATCTTGCTTCGTTCGATGGTATACGCGTCATCAGTTCCCTGGCTAATCTTCAAAACTGCACTTTGTCCGAGGGCTTTTGCGTCCTGAAAGAAGAAATCATTATGTGGGAGCCTGTCACCAGCCCCTCGCTTTGCCCTTACAAGTTTGCCGGATCCTTCAATTCTTACGTCACCTCCAAGTTCGCGTTAATCCCTCAGTCCGAATTAGCCTTTGAATTCTATTCGGATACATACGCCTACGCCGAGATAGCGACAAGATGCGGTTTCTCAGGATTTTCATTGACAACCTCCCATCACATCCTCATTTTCCCACAACTGCCTGCTCATCTCTCCCTTCAACGATATATTTTGGAGGAAAGCTTACATCGACGTGGAAGACGAGAAATACGATATATTACGGACTCGACGGGAGCGAGGTCGTCGTATGAGATAGTTCCTAAGCAGTCAGAGCCTCTGATACGAAGACTTTTCGGTATCACGGAGTTAACACGGTTGCCATTCTTTGCAACGGCGCCCATAAGGGAACCACGTATTTTGAGGGAAATGGAGAGATGGAATGTCACTAACAGAGATTTCCAACTTCGTCGAAGACTCTACGCGGCTGAAGATCCGAGGCTGACGGTTTTGCGCACGATACGTTACTCAGAGTACAGATGGAAACAACTAATCGAGTTTGAAGAAATTCGCAAGACCAGGATGCTAACATATGCAGAGTTTTCTACTCAGCGAGATCTGCAGATGGGCATAAGTGCTATTTTTGATGACTACCTTGCTGAAGAATTTGGACCAGCCCGGATTGTATTTGGAAATGATACTTCCACCATTCCTATCCCTTTCTACGTTATCACTACCTCACCTGTGAGAGATTTGCCGCCAATACCAACCACTACGACCACGCCGATGATGACAACAACAACAACGAAAAGAACAACTACCATCAAACCTTACTCTGATGCCACCGATTATCCCGACGATTATGTCGCTGATACCTTTCAAGTCGACTATGCAAGTCCGTCGACTCAATCTCCTCCAAAATCAACTACCCAAATTTCTCGCCCTCGACCAACTCAAAAGCCTTCACCATTCACCCTGCCCGAAAGACCGCGGACAACTCCAAGTTCTTCTACAAGAATCCCTCCAACTCAAACTCCCAGATATTCTCCCCATCGAATACCATCAAGATCTCCGGCAATTTCCTCCACGCGGTTTCCTCCGAGACCTCCGAATTTGCCTGTCCAAATGGCGACACTTCAAATTCAAACCCTTCAACGTCCTCCACCTCAAACCTCACCAAAGCCTA